CCCAAAGTGCTCGCGCTCATCTATCGGCAGAGAGTTGCGAATAGCGAAGCGAGTATGGGCGTCACGAGTCTGCCATTGTGAGCGGGCAGTGCTGTCAGTAGTAGCAGCAGGAGCAGTAGCGTGGCCTAAGGCATGATCGTACAGCGAGATGTCTTCCTTGGCAGTGAGCTGTAGGAAGAGGTGTAGGTCATCAAGCCAGGTGTCGAACTTCAGTGGGCGGCCCTCAGTATCGAAGGCTAGGACAGGAGGGCTAGCCATGGTAGCAGCAGTAGGAAAAGCAGTAGGAGCAGTAGGGTAGGTAGGGCAGCGCGGCTCGGTACAGGTAGGGCGGCGCGGCTCGGTATAGGTAGGGCGGCGCGGCTCGGTTCGGGTCGCGCGGCGCGGCTCGGGTCGGGCGGCGCGGCTCGGTTCGGGCGGCTCGGGTCGGGCGGCGCGGCTCGGTTCGGGCGGCTCGGGTCGGTTAGGGCTGGCGGCTCGGGTCGGGCGGCTCGGTTCCATTAGGGTTGGGCGGCTCGGGTCGGCTCGGTCCGGGCTGCTCGGTCTGGGTGGGGCCGTTCGGGGTCGCTAAGGGCGAGCGCGGGGAGCGGGTGGGGCCGTGAGGGACGAGCGCGGGGCCAACGTGGGTGCTAAGGGCGAGCGCGGGGCCTATCGAGGCCGTGAGGGACGAGCGCGGGGCCGATCGGGGCCGTAAGGGACGAGCGCGGGGCCAACGTGGGCCTCTAAGGGCGAGCGCGGGGCCTATCGGGGCCGTGAGGGACGAGCGCGGGGCCGATCGGGGCCGGTAAGGACGAGCGCGGGGCCGACGCGGGCCTCTAGGGGTAAGCGCGGGGCCGATTCGGGGCCTCTAAAAGCGAGCGCGGGGCCGACTGAGGCCTCTAGGTGCGAGAGCGCGGGGCCGACGGGGCCTCTAGGGGCGTGAAAGCCGAGGCGCCCTAGGGCGCAGGTAGGTAGGTAGGTAGTGGTGGGCCCTAAAAAATCGGTCCTAGGAAGGACCTGCTCTATACGATGTTGAACAAGAATGAATGAACTAAGAGTGAAAATGAGTACAAGTGTCAAAACCTAGGAATGTGTACCCCCTATAGGCTAACCCACTGTAGCCTAAACAACTACAACAACATATATAATGTTTGACAGAGTCGGTTCCCTACTACCGTCTGTTCCCCTACCGCACTGCTCCCTTTCCTGCCCCGCCGCTCTTCCTCGCGCCAGGTCCCCCCCCGTTAGACCCCCTCCCCCCTCAGGTGTGTCCCAGGTAGACGCAGTCGAGCCTGTCGAGGTAGCTGTTGACTCTGGTGCTGCTAGGGGTGCTGAGCCTGCGGGTACCGGGTCTGGGGGTGCTGAGCCTGAGCGTGCGGAGCCTGGGGGTGCTGGGTCTGGGAGTGCTGAGCCTGGGGGTGCTGAGCCTGGGGGTGCTGAGCCTGGGGGTGCTGAGTCTAGGGGTGCGGAGCCTGAGGGTGTTGGGCCTGCTCGAGTGGAGTCTGGCGGTGCTGGGCCTGGAGGTCCTTCAGGTGCTTCGTCTTGGCAGGAGCTACTCTCCCCGCAGGAGCTGCGCGAGTGGTTTGCCCAGCGCTCTAGACGTGCTGCTGGAGCTGGTGGTGCTTCCGGCGCTGGAGGTTCTGTTGCTGGGGCTGCTGGGGGTTTTGGAGCCACGGGTCCCGGAGGTGCTCGTACTGGAGGTACTCGAGCTGCTGGGCACGGTGGTGCTACTTGTGCAGGAGCTGCTGGCGGTGCTGGAGCAGGCGGTGCTGCTGGAGTAGGTGTTGCTCGAGGTTCTGGAGCTGGAGCTGCTTCGTCTTCCGATGGTCCTCCTGGAGCTGCAGCTGCTGGAGGTGCTGGTGCTAGAGGTGCTACTGGAGCCGGTGCTCCTGTGGGTGCTGGAGTTGGCGCTACTGGAGCAGCTGGTGGTGCTGCTGGAGCTGTTGGAGCTGACGCTAGGAGTGCTGGTGCTGTTCCTGCTAGTTCTGGAGGTGTTGCACAGCCGCGGCCGTACTTCGTTACGCTCCTTGAGCAGGTTCTTGGTCTCCCGCCATCTACTGGTCCAGCTCCTTCCTTAGAGTGTCCTCCGCCTGTCCAGTCCGAGTCACAGTTACAGCTCGCATCCCCACTGCCTGCTCCTTCTCCCTACACTGGTCCTACTAGAGGACTTGCTGAGCGTCGTGAACCTGAGTCTCGTCTTGCGTCGCCTGTTTGTGCTGCTCGCACTTGTCGTCGTGATCCGCGTCAGCGTCCTCCTGCGGTCCCAGGCACGCACCGGATGGCACTGCGTCCTTCCACTGCAACACTGCGTGTCCCTTTGCTGTCTCCTCCAGAGTCATCTCTTCCTGCTCTTGCTGACCCGGAGTCTGACTCCCTTTGTACTACCAGACCTACTGTCATGTGTCTCCTGGCTACTGTTGTTACTGACCCTTCCTTTGAGTCCACTGCTGCGTCTGCCTTAGTTGCTGAGCTTATCGACTTTGCTGCTCACTGTCGTCTAGACTACGCCGCTAGTCCTTTTGCTGAGTCTGAGTCCGTCTGTCCTCCGTCCATCGGGGGTGAGTGTGATATTAGCACGGACGTCCTTGAGGACAGGCAGGAGGAGTTCCAGTGCTTTGCTGCTGCTTTATCTCATCTCGTGTCCATGCTGCTTGCCCCTGTGGGAGACCCGGATGCACCAGACACCCCGACCCCGCACTCTTACGCAGAGGCGATAGAGGGTCCCTACTCCTCTCAGTGGCAGTCAGCCATGGACGCAGAGATGGCTTCCTGGAATTCCACAAGCACCTACATCGACGAGGTTCCCCCACCTGGGGCGAAAATCGTCGGTGGCATGTGGATCTTCAGGGTGAAGCAGCCACCTGGTTCTCCACCTGTCTTCAAGGTCCGTTACGTGGCTCGAGGCTTCAGTCAGCGACAGGGAGTTGACTACTTCCAAACCTTCTCCCCCACCCCGAAGATCACCTCTCTTCGGTTGCTGCTGCACGTCGCCGCTAAGCATGACTACAAGCTTCACTCTCTTAACTTCAGCACAACCTTTCTACAGGGGAGCCTGCACGAGGAGATCTGGCTGCGCCGCCCACCTGGCTTCACTGGGCCATTTCCTCCTAGTGCCCAGTGGAGCCTCCGGCGGCCAGTCTACGGTCTCCGCCAGGCGCCCCGTGAGTGGCATGACACTCTGAGGACTACTCTTGCGGCCCTTGGGTCTGCTCCTTCTATTGCTGACCCATCGCTGTTTCTACGCACCGACACCTCTTTGCTGCCGTTCTACATCCTCGTGTACGTCGATGACTTGGTCTTTGCTACTGCTGACACTGCTGGACTCACCCACGTGAAGTATGAGCTGCAGAAGAGACACACGTGCACAGACCTGGGTGAACTGCGCAGCTACCTTGGCTTGCAGATCACCCGGGACAGAGCACGCCGCACCATAACCCTGACTCAATCACACATGGTGCAGCAGGTCCTTCAGCGTTTCGACTTCACGTACTCCTCGCCTCAGGCCACTTCTCTGTCTACTCGCCACTCGCTCTCAGCTCTGCCTTCGGATGAGTCCGTAGAGCCGAGTGGTCCGTACCCTGAGCTTGCCTTACTTTACTTCACTGTTCTTGTGACCTCTTGTTCTCCCCCACTTTGCCTATGGGGGTGTGTCAAACATACATGACATACTGTGTGTAGGCTGTAGTGGGATAGACCATATGGGGTACAACACTGCTAGGTTTTCCTACTCGTACCCATCTCCTTGCTAGTTCAGCCATTCCTTGTTCTGTAATTCTATTAGTACAGCCAACGGCCTCGCAGTAAATTTCGAGGGTCGCAATGAATCGACGGACGTCGGTGTCTCTTGCATTCAGATTGAATGTCTCTGGTAGCCTCGAACGTTCCGCCTCAAGATTTACTGTAGCCACTGCCGCTACTGCTGGGTTAAGTGTCCGTGTTGCTGCTGCTGCTGCTGACATCGCTGCTCCTGTGGCGGCTACCGACTAGTTCGCGAGAAGCTCCTCTATTCGCTGGAGTGCCGCTCGCATCAGTTACGCTGGCTCACCTACGTGCTGACCGACTTGGGAGAGCCGCCTCGTTCTCCTCCAGTTCTGTACGTCGACAACAAGGCCATGATTGCCTTTTGTCAGGAGCACAAACTGGAGCACAGAACGAAGCACATCGCTCTTCGCTACTTCCTTGCTCGAGAGTTGCAGCAGTGTGGTCAGCTTCGTCTTGCTTACGTGGCCACTCGGGCCAACACTGCTGATATCTTTACCAAGGCATTTCAGCCTTGTGATCATCAGCGTTTCTGTACTCTATTGGGTCTAGTGCCTACTTGGCCTCACTTGCTCACCTCTTGACTTTGCTTGTACTGTTATCTATATATACCTGCACCTGCATGCTTACACTTGTTAGGTTGAGATCGCTGTACTCCTTGTTCATCTTGATATATAACTCAGCATGTGAACTGGTCGTGTGGCCTTTGCTTGTCCTCAGACTGCGTGGTGACGTCGTGATCCACCCTGAGCTTGACCTTGCATTGCTCTCTTGCTTGTCCCCCTCTTTGCCAATGGGGGTGAGTCAGAACTATACTCTAGGCTGTAGTGGGGCACTCCTTATGGGGTACAGCGCTGTTAGGTTTTGCCTTTACAAACTGTGTACTATTCTCATTCTAGTCATTCCTCGTTCTAACTTTCACATTAGGCTATGGGGATGTGTCAAATGTTGTAGCCTGTAGTAGTGAGGCTTTTCTTATGGGGTAAAAATGTTAGGGTTAGGCATATGTACCCCAACCTACATCAATGCAATCACAATTCAGTTTCTGACACGAACCACCATCGCATCGCCTTCGGGTTTCCCAACCCCGAACCTGCTCCCAACCATCTCGCGACCCCGCGACCGTCGCCTAGCTAGCTCTGCTATATTAGTCCTAGGCTTCATTAATTGCTCGACGTTGTAATCACTTCCGCGCTATTGCATTCTGCGCACTCTTCTTTCGCACAACTCATAACAACTAGCTAGCTCGCACGCACCACTTAGTGATGCATACTCGTTTGACACCTAGTGTAAGCCTCGTTATCTCGTTCCATTCCACTGGGCGACTTGTGACACACCCGTCATGCTGTCACTACACCTACCAACCTACCGCGCAGGTGTCGTTTCACCACCACCCTCAGTGCTGTGCCATCCCAATCGCACCACACGCCCCTCCCGCTCTTCTCCCTCTCCCTGCTAAATCTACTTTTGCCCACTCGTTTTCCTCCTGCCCCGACCTCCGCACTCGCCGCCTTTCGTCTTTCGACTGTCATCGAGGTCATCCGTCGAAGAGCATGCGGCCACCGGTCAACGCGCCCCTGACCCTAGCGGGCGACCCCTCCCCAGCCCCGCCAGCATTGCCGCCTCTCCCATCCTCCGCCTTCCCCACCGGGTCTCGCGAGCGGCTGCGCGCATTGCTTGCGGAGGCCACGGCGAATGCGCCATCCGCAGGCGACGATGCGCGCGCCTCCGCGCAAACGGCATCAGTGGCGTCCGCCGAACCCTGCGTCGCGGATGGCGCGTCCGCCCTCGCCGCGTGCTCGTCGGTGGGCCGAGGAGCACATATAAAGGGCGGCGAGGCGCGGTACGGCGCAGCGGACAACGTGGCGTGCGTCGCAGGTGATGTGTGGGAGCGAGGGGCGACGGCGGAGAGGGAACGGGAGGCGATGGCGGAGAGCGAGGCACGGGGAGCGGGCGACGAAGATGGCTCCGAGGGGCACATGCCGTGGGGATGGGGCGCGCAAGGGGAGGGCACCATGCAGCTGCAGCATGCGGGGGGGTTCGTACCGCAAGTGGCGGACAGCAGGCAGCCAGTCGGCGACGCCGCCGTCACCTCCGCCAACCCTTTCGCGCGCCCTCCTGCGCCGGCGCGGATTGCCACAGTGCCGCCCGCGGCGTGCGCCAAGCGGCGCCCCCCCAGCGGGTCAAAGAGCTTCGCCCAGCGACTGGCGGCTCGCGCTACTGCTGGGAGGGGGGATGGCGGTGATGGCGGCGAGGGAGGCGCGGAAGGGGGCAGCGCGCGCGGCATGGCGAGCGTGCCCGCGCGGCTGGTGACGGGCGCACCCGCGTCCGGGCCCGTGTGCTTCCTCATCGCGGGGGGGCTCAGCCCAGCCGCCCTGCTGGACTCGCCCGTGGTGCCGCGCTCCCAGGTGAGGGGCGCGCGGGGGAGAGGGGGAGGGGGGATGGGGTAGGGGGTGGTGGGAGTTGTGCATGCTTAGTAAGGCAGAGGGCGTGCATGCATAGTAAGGCATAGAGCGTGTATGCATAGAAAGGCAGAGAGCGTGCATGCATGAGTGACGGTAGCTCTTGGCGATGCCTCTGCTCTCCGTGCTCGCCCTGTGTTGCTGGCGCTGCACGTCCCCCACATCACTCCCGCCACCCTCCTCCCCCTGCTCCTTACCACTGCCTTCCCCCTGCCTCCACCAATCCTGCATTTCCCCTTTCCCCTTGCATCCCCTCATCTCCTCTCCCCAATTCCTCATCCCCCATCCCTCATCCCCCACCATCACTCTGTGCGCCCCTCGTATCCCCAGCCCGCCGCCAGCACAGCGCCCCTGCTGGAAGGGGGTGGTGGGGCGCAGGCAGGGGGAGGTGGGGTGGTGAAAGGGCGCATGGCGGTGGCGGATGAGGAGGAGGAGGGGGAGCATGGGGGACGGAGGAAGCGGCAGCGGATGGAGGGCGGGGATGATGGGGCGGTGTCATGGAGTGACAGAGGAGGGCGGAGGGGCGGGGCGATGGGGCAGGAGGATGGTAGAGTGGGTGGCGGGCAGGGGGAGAGCGTGCGTGCAGCCTTGGCGCTCGGGCTAGGTGGGGATGCGGATGGATGGGGGGCGCGGATGGGGGAGGGGGAGCAGATGGGTGCAGGGCGAGCGAGGGACGCATTGGGGATGGAGGCAGTGGTGGCGGGTGATGTGGCGGTGGCGGGTGCACGCCCACACCACATGGCCCTCACTGCCATGCACCCCCACACCTGCATGCTGCCTTGCTCCGCCGCCCCTCACATTGCTGCTGACGGCAGTGCCATTGAAGGGGGACATGGCGGCGCGCAGCAGGGCACGGCAGTGGGGGTGGCAGGTGATGGCGTGGCAGTGCATGCAGGCGCACATGGGGAGGCCCAGAAAAAGGTGCTCCCTGGAGCAGCGGTAAGGGGCGAGGCCTTGCGGCAACAGAGAGTAGCACGGTGGCAAGGCAACGGGGGTTCGGCGCAGGCGCTGCAAGGGGTGGCAGGCAGCGAGATGCACAGCTGGGTGCTGCACAACAGGGTCGATGGGGAGGAGGATGCGAGAGGCGAGGCTGGGCATGTGCATGGGGAGGATGGGGCGGGGTGGGAAGTGGAGGATGAGGAGGATGCGATTGGAAAAGAGGATATGGAAGAGGGCTGGACGGATGGGGGAGGAGAGGCAAAGGCGGTGGGTGCAGGAGCAGCGGCAGCAAGCGGGGCAGTGGACGGGTACAGCTGGCATAAGTACGAGCAGAAGGAGGTGCGTGGGGGGGGAGGAATGCGCAGCTACTACGGATGCACAGTGCCCGGGTGCCCTGCCAAGAAGCGCGTGGCGCTGGCAGTGCATGGCCACGCCGCACACTGCCAGTACCACGGGCACCACAGCCATGCGCCTCCACTGCCCCCTGCGGCCCCTGTCTACACGCCTGCTGCCGCTGGCAGCGCTGGCAGCGTGGGCTTGGGTGGGGAGTCGAGCAGTGCGAGTGGCGTGCAAAGGGAGGGGAACTCCGCTCATGGCTTTGCTGGCTACGCGGACAGAGGCGCAGCGGCGGAAGGTGTGGGGCAGGGCAGAGGCGAGGAGGAGAGGAGAGGAGAGGAGATTGAGATAGGGAAAGAGGCGAGTGCGTGGGAGAAGGAGGGAAGGGTGGGGCAGAGCGAGGATGCATCGCGGTCGAGGAGCAGCTTTGAGGGTGGCGAGGCCGACGCAGGTGTGGGGAGGAGGGCGGAGGGCGAGGCGACCAGCAAGGAGCAGCGCAAGAGGTATGCCAGGCAAGCACTGCCACGCTGCTGCCTTCCCTTCCTGCTGCTTATCTCTCACGGTGTAATAGCCATTCACTGCTCGCTTCATCTGCGTGTGGAGCAGCCCTCCTATGGATGTGGCTCAGCCACGTGCTTGAATGTGGGGCAGATGATGTGTCACAGAGGGAGTGGTAATAAAGGGCGCCCCAGTCACTGCCAAGTAGCAGTCGGTGTCAGAGAAAGCTGCTGTGGGTGGCAAGTAAGCGCCCTGCCTTCCATCCCACTGAGTAGACCGGGAAAGCTGCTTCATTGCCAAGTTGCTGCCCTGCTTTGCGTTCTGTTGCACACTTCGTTTTGACAGCTGCTTTTTCACTACTCCTTGTCTAGGTTTAGGACAAGGGTGCGGCACGCTACAGACAAGTTCAGGACAACGTACGTGGTAGAAAGGAGGAGGGCGGAGCATACTAGTGGGCAGGTGGGACAAGCATGGGCACGGGTGAGGAGGGAGACAGTCCCTGTGGTAGGCATGAGCAGGTCTGGCAGGAGGTGCCGTTGGTGCAGCAGCAGGTGATGGCAGCCAGGCTCACACCCTTGCCATGCATGGCGCTGTACCCACTTGACCTCACGCTGCATGCGCTGCGCTGTGTCTCCGCCCCTCGCATGCTGTCCCACCATTTTCTATGCTCACTGGCCCCACCAGCGATTCCTCTCCCCCCTGCGCCTCACAGGCGTCCGGAGCCGTTTTGTGGGCAGCGTGTGCAGCGCGGGCCCAAGGTGGTGGTGCGCGCCGTGAGCACGGTGGAGCTGCTGGACGACGGGTACCGCTGGCGCAAGTACGGCCAGAAGCTTGTGCACGGCCGCCGCTTCCCCAGGTGCGCCAACAGCAGGGCTGTACTGCAGGGACGGAGGGTCAAAGAGGGAGTGATCGCAGCGGAAATACAGTTCCGGGTACCAGTGGGACCAGCCCTCCTTTTGCTTGCATGACACACTCTTTGGCAGCTGCTCATCCTTGGCTCGTCTTGTTTTTTGTCACCCGCTCCTCTCTCAAACGGTCCGTTGTATTGATTCAGCAGGGGTACAGACAAGCAGTTTTATCCATGATGACCTTAATTCCTTAAGCCCTATAATCCACCCCTCTTCCCCCCCCCTTAGTGACACGCATTCTCTCTCTCTCTCTCTCTCTCTCTCTCTCTCTCTCTCTCTCTCTCTCTCCCTCTCTCTCTCTCTCTCCCTCTCTCTCTCTCTCTCTCTCTCTCTACACACACACACACGTGCACACTCACGTGCGTGCGCGCCCACACACACACACACACGTGCACACTCACACGTGCGCGCGCGCACACACACACACACACACACAAACACACGCACATGCACACACACACACGCATCCACACACACGCACACACACACACATGTACACACACACACACACATTTACATACACACACGCGCGCACACACACACGCACATACACACGCACACTCGCACACGCACACACACACAAACACACACACACACACCCACACACACACGCACACGCACACACACACGCGTGCACTCACGCACACACACACACACACACACACACACACACACACACACACACACACGCACACACGCACGCACACGTGTTTGGTGTGCAGGAGCTACTACAAGTGCACGCATCCGGGGTGCATAGTGAGAAAGCACGTGGAGCGGTGTGAGGACGACCCCAGGGAGGTGGTCACCACGTACGAGGGCAAGCACAGCCATGCCGTGCCCACCGCGCGCTCCACCTGTGTCTTCATGGCCCTTGACGGGCCCGGCGTGTTCTCTCTCTCATCCGCGGGAGGGGAAGGGGATATTTCTGGACCAAGTAGTGAAAAGGGGGGGACAGTGAGCAAGAAGAGTAGTGTTTGAGCATTGAGTGTACACTTGTAGTGCAAGTCAAAGGCTGAGGTGTGGATAATGGCTCCTTCAAAGCCAGCAGCTAACATAGTAGTGACCCCCACCTTCTAGTTGGATCCACTTGAATATCAAAGTTTCTTTGTAATGATTTGAAAAGTTGAAGCGTCGTGTGTGTGGGTTTTTGAAACACCTCGACACGAGTTCTGAATGAACAGGGATCAAAAGTGTCAGAACATTATAGCTTATGCTGTTGTGTAGGCTATAGTGGGGTATCCCTTAGGGGGTACAACACAATTAGGGTTTTCATATTTGTACTCACTTCACTCATAGTTCATTCATTCTCGTTCAGTTTTTCTCATGGTATCGAGCAGGTTCCCCTGTGGGAACTGTGCCTAGGGCCCACCACTCGAAACTTTTTTTTCCTGCCCGAAGCGCACTCATCCCGAGTCGCGCCTCGGGCCACTCCTTCCCCGAGCCGCCCTAGCGGCCGGCCTTAACCTCGCGGCCCCGCCACCCAGTGAACGCGGCCCCGCCGCCTCTTCTCTGGCGGCCTCGCCGCCCTGCTCTCGCGGCCCTCGCCGCCCTTACTCACGCGGCTCCGCCGCCCCTGATCTCGCGGCTCCGTCGCCCCTGCTCCAGCGGCCCCGCCGCCCCTGATCTCGCGGCCCCGCCGCCCCTGAACTCGCGGCCCTCGCCGCCCCTGATCTCGCGGCCCCGCCGCCCAAGCGCTCGCGGCCCCGCCGTCCCTGATCTCAAGGCCCCGCCGCCCCTGATCTCTCGGCCCCGCCGCCCCAGCGCTCCCGGCCCCGCCGCCCCTGATCTCGCGGCCCCGCCACCCCAGCGCTCCCGGCCCCGCCGCCCCTGATACGCGGCCCCGCCGCCCCAGCGCTCGCGGCCCCGCCGTCCCTGATCTCACGGCCCCGCCGCCCCAGCGCTCACAGCCCCGCCACCCCTGATCTCGCGGCACCGCTGCCCCAGCGCTCCCGGCCCCGCTGCCGCTGATCTCGCGGCCCCGCCGCCCCAGCGCTCCCGGCCCCACCGCCCCTGTTATGCGGCCTCGCCGCCCCAGCGCTCCCGGCCCCGCCGCCCCTGATACGCGGCCTCGCCGTCCCTGATCTCACGACCCCGCCGCCCCAGCACTCACGGCCCCGCCGCCCCTTGCTCTCGCGCCGCCCAACTGCAGCAGCCGAGCCGCCCAACTGCAGCAGCCGAGCCGCCCTTGCACCCGAGCCGCCCGGCACCCGAGCCGCCCGGCAGCCGAGCCGCCCCGCCCGAGCCGCCCTACCGCCGAGCCGCCTGGGAGCCGAGCCGCCCGGGAGCCGAGTCGCTGAGTAGCTGAGCCGCCTTTTCTACCGAGCCGCCCGACCTGCCCTGCCCGGTGAGCACTGTACCGCTGTCACTGCGTGCCCTTCCCTACTGCTTGCACTGCATCACTGTCGTTGTCATGGCCACCCCTAGTGTCCTCGCTTTTGACGCTGAGGGTCGAGCCATAGACTTCGAGGTCTGGCTCGACGACCTGCAACTGTTTTTACAGTGCGATAGGGCGGACGGTCTGTCTCTCTTTGACCTCACCTCTGGCGCCGTCCCTTCCCCTGCTGCTGATGCTGACGCCACTGTTCGCTCACAGTGGGCCACGCGCGATGCTGCTGCACGTCTTGCTGTGCGTCGCCACTTGCCTACCGCTGAGCGCGCGCACTTTAGCCAGTACAAGAGTGCCCAGACCTTGTACGACGCTGTAGTTGCGCCCTACTCCTCCCCTGCCACTGGTGCACTCAGCCGCCTCATGCTCCCCTTCCTCTTCCCTGACCTTGCCGCCTTTCCCACTATCGCTGATCTCATCACGCACCTCCGCACTAGTGACACTCGCTACCGCGCTGCGCTTCCTGCTGACTTCTGCGCCAAGAACCCCCCCCCCATGTACATCACTCTCTACTTCTTAGTCACTCGCCTCCCTGACTCCCTTCGTGTAGTCCGGGACCACTTCCTCGCAGTCTGTCCCACCACCCTCACAGTCGACAGCCTAGAGAAGGCCCTCCTTGTGACAGAGAAGAGCATAGTCGCTGTAGGAGCCTCTCGAGGTGACCCCCGCGCCCCCATCTTTGAGGGGTGTTCTCCTTCCCCTCTCCTGCCCTCTGCCGCCTTTGCCGCTGCGGCCGACCTCGTTGGTCTTGAGTCGGTCGGTGCGGCGTTTGCCCCTAGCGGGAGACGCCGCTCTGGCAAGGGCAAGGGGGGCAAGGGAGCGGGTGGGGCCGGTGGGAGCGGTGGAGGTGGAGGTGGAGGCGGCGGAGGGAGTGGGGGTGGCGGTGGAGGTGGTAGCGGGGGTGGGGGTGCTAGTGGCGGCAGTGGAGGCGGGGGTGGCGGCGGCGGTGGCGGTGGTAGCGGAGGTGGCGGAGGTGGCAGCGGTGGAGGCGGAGGCGGGTGCGGTGGAGGCGGAGGCGGGGGTGGCGGAGGTGGAGGTGGTCGGAGTGGAGCTTCGCAGCGGAGCGGCACTGGGGGAGGTCAGCGCCAGCAGAAGCAGCGTTCTCGCGACGTCCCCACCCCTCAGCAGCTCCGTGAGTGGTACACGCAGCGTCAGCGCGGTGGGGGTTTTGGTCCCTGCACCTACGCTCTCCGCACTGGCGACCGCGCCGGAGAGCAGTGTGGGGGCACCCACACCGCCCAGCGCTGCTTTGGCCGTCTGACGGACGCTTGGCGCCAGCAGTTCCCGGAGGCCGCGGAGATCCCCCGCTGGGGAGAGCTGTCTAGGGCTGGTGTAGCTATCTTTGATCTTGATTTTGATGCTATCCTTGCTGCCATGTATGCTGTGACCATTAGTGATGAGGGTGACTCTTACCGGTGTTTCGCGCCCGACCCGGGCATTGGTACTGCTGCTCCAGGTGCCGTTGAGGCTTCTGCTCTAGGTGCCAATGCGTCTGTGCTCTCAGGTGCTGGTGAGGCTGCTCTCTCAGGTACTTGAGCGTCTGCGCTCTCAGGTACTGCGTCGGCTTCGGCCTCCCACACCTTCACTCTTGACTCTGGAGCGTCTCGCTCTTTCTTCCAGGACCGCACCACACTCACGCCGCTTAGTCGGCTGGTTGCGGTTTCCCTGGCTGACCCCTCTGGGGGTCCTGTCCTGTCTCGTTTCTCCACAGTCCTCCCGTGTCCGGCGGCTCCCTCTGGCACCCTGTCTGGTCTTTACCTCCCCTCGTTCTCTACGAACTTGGTGAGTGGTGCTGACCTACAGGATGCGGGAGTCCACCAGATCACCCCTGCTCGTCAGCGAGTGACGCACTGCACAGAGGCTAGCACGGGTCGTCACCTAGCTACGTTTACACGTCAGCCTGGGTCGAGCCTGTACACACTGACCACTGCTTCTCCTCCAGGTGCTGAGTCTGGTAGAGTCCCTTCGTCTGGTCAGGTGTTTGCTGCAGCGTCCAGGTCTGGTCCTGAGTCTGCCCCCTGTTCATGTCGCCGTCTGTCTCACGAGACCCTCCTCTGGCACCACCGCCTTGGCCACCCCTCTCTGCTTCAGCTCAGAGGCATGGCCTCCTGTCTTCTTGTGTCTGGTCTCCCCCGGTCCCTCCCTCCCCTTCCTCAGGGCCCTGGCCCTGCCTGTGTCCCCTGTGTCGAGGGGCGCCAGCGTGCTGCCCCTCACTCCTCCCAGTTTCCTCCGACAGAGGCTCCGTTGCAAACGCTTTACATAGAGGTGTGGGGCCCTGCCCGCGTCCGTGGACTCGGTCACGAGCGCTACTTCCTGTTGGTGGTTGATGACTACTCGCGTTACACCACAGTCTTCCCCTTGCGCAGCAAGGGTGATGTCACTGAGGTGCTGATCGACTGGATCCGCGCAGCTCGTCTCCAGCTCAGGCAGAGCTTTGGCTCGGACTTTCCTGTGTTGCGTCTGCATTCGGACAGAGGCGGAGAGTTCTCCTCTGGCCTTCTGCGTGCCTACTGTCGTGCGCGAGGCATCCGCCAGACCTTCACGCTTCCGGACTCCCCGCAGCAAAATGGGATTGCAGAGCGCCGCATTGGCATGGTCATGGACGTCGCTCGTACGTCTATGATGCATGCGGCTGCCTGCCATTTTCTGTGGCCGTTTGCGGTCAGGTACGCGGCGCATCAGATCAACCTCCACCCCAGGGTCTCCAGGCCGGAGACCTCCCCAGCCTTGCTGTGGACGTGGAAGGTTGGCGATGCGTCGGCGTTCCGGGTCTGGGGATCTCGGGCGTTTGTCCGCGACTTGTCTGCGGACAAGCTGTCCCCTCGCGCTGGTCCCTGCTTCTTCCTGGGGTTCCCCCCTGACGCCCCTGGGTGGCAGTTCTACCACCCCACCTCTCGACGTGTTCTGTCCTCCCAGGACGTCACGTTCGACGAGTCGGTACCCTACTACCGCCTCTTCCCCTACCGCACTCCGTCCCTCCCCCCGCCCCCGCTCTTCTTTGTACCAGGTCCCCCCCCGGTAGACCCCCTCCCCCCTCAGGGTCCTGCCCCTTCAGATGTGTCCCAGGTAGACGCGGTCGAGCCTGTCGAGGTCACTGGTGACTCTGGTGCTGCTGCGGGAGCTGAGCCTGGGGGTGCTGGGACTGGAGGCGCTACGCTTGGGGGTGCTGAGCCTGGGGGTGCGGAGTCTGGAGGTGCTGAGCCTGCGGGTGCTGAGCTTGGGGGTGCTGAGCCTGGGGATGCTGAGTCTGGGGGTGCTGGGCCTGGGGGTGCTGAGCCTAGGGGTGCTGAGACTGGGGGTGCTCCGCCTGGCGGTGCTTCGTCTCGCCGAGAGCCACTCTCCCCACAGGAGCTGCGTGAGTGGTTTGCCCGGCGCTGGAGGCGTGCTGTTGGTGCTGGAGGTTCTTCGGCTGCAGAGGGTGCTGCTGCCGAGCGTCCCGGAGGTGCTCCTGCTGTGGGTGCTGGAGGTGCTGGGTCTGAGGGTTCTCCTGGAGCTGGTGCTGCTGAGGGTGTTGGCGCTGAGACTACCGCTGGCGGTCCGACTGGCAGTGCTCCTGGTGGTGCTACTAGAGGTGCTGCTGGAGGTGCTGCTG